GGGTTGACGAAAAGCTCCCTGAAAGGTGGAGAGGTAGGAGACGCTCACCCCCCAAAGCTCCGGGCAGCTTGGACTGTGGGTGCTGTAGCATGGCGGGCCAGATAACTCCAGATCCGGGAGAACAGTGCTGAGGGACAAAGCGAGCTGAGAAGTTTGAGTGACTTATCCAAAAACCATCTGGGTGGGAGGACATTTGGAACTTCAGGATCTGGCATAGTGGATTACGGGTGAGCTTGCTAACTGCAAAGTCGGTCTTAGATTGTTATAGAATGTAATTGGGTTAGGATTAAGAGGAGGAATCCTGGTGGTGTAGGGAGGTACACGTTGGGCTGCTAGCCCCAAGGTCAGCAGTTCGAACCTACCAGGTGCTCTATGCGGGCAGAAAGATGAGGGTTCCTGCTCCCGTGAAGATTCACAGCCTCAGAAACTGAAAGTTCTGCCTGGTCCTACAGGGTGCCTATGAGTCATCCTCTGTCCTAATGAATATGCATGCGAACAAAACAAGTGTGCTGTGCGTGCCTAATATTTGCATTTTGGTTCCGATTTCCAACATTACACTTAGAGCAATCACAGAACATCTGAAAGGAAATCAGCTCTTGTGCTGACTCACATTGACCCCCTGTGGGTTTCAGAGGCTGTAACTGTTTGCAGAAGTAGAAAGTCCACGCTCCCTCGGAGCTGCTAGTGGTTTTGAACTGCCAACTATGTGATTCACAGCCCAAGGAGTAACAGATACAGCACCAGGGCTCCTTCATAAAAGGAAAAATGATCCCCAAATTTTAACCCCTCAGGCAGGCCCATCCTTCCACAGTCTGGTCGGCTCCAGCTTAGTAACGCTGGGGGCGAGGCCTGACTCAGACCCCTTTGCGGAGGGTTTGAGTTGACCCCCCTGCTTTAAATGGCTTCCGCCCAGGAGAGGCTAGTTTACAAATGGTCAGCTTTCCCGACCTGGCCTGACCCCACGAACAGCCTGCCTGCCCGAGCATGACCCACAGACTGGGCGAGGCCTGTCTCTTCCTCTGCATGACAAAGGGCGACTGCCCGCCCTCCCAGGCACTCATCAGGCCATTGTAAAAGGCCTCCCAATCCACATTCACGTTCTTCTTTTGGCCACGAGCTAATTGCTCAATTATTTTATTTCCCCAGCAAAACTCTTCACCTCGCCTGGAATCCACATTCCAGAGAGGGCCTGTGTCTTGGGAAGCCTCCTGAGTCTGGGATATTTGCCTTCCGTCTGTCTGCTCCTCTGCCTACCCCACCACCCCCACCCCGCTCCCCGTAGACACCAACTGCTGGATTCGGGGAGGCACCCTGCCAGCCCAGGATTGAGGGCTGGGCCCTGGTTTCCAGAGTCCAGGGCAGAACTCTGATGAGAAAGACTGAGGGTCGGATTTGCAGCGAGAGAAAGACGAGGCTTTCTACTCTTGTAAAGCTTTCGGGCCGCTCTCCTCTGTCTCACGGGTTGCTGTGGTCAGGGTTAACTGTCCCTGGCAGTGAGAAGACTTGCAGCCCTGAAACCCCTATGGAGGGCCTCTCTGAGCTGGACCGGCCTCGGAGGCACTGGGTTCTTGGTGCACTTTGATTTTGTCGGCTGAGTGTTTGCAGGTAGCAGCCCTGGGCTCTGTGCCAAGGTAGATGGACACAGTGCTGCAGCCATGAGAATCATTGTGTGGATGGCGCCGGACACGCCGGGGCTTCATTCTGGGGTGCATGGGCTCGTTGTTGGGAGTCACAGCCCCTGCATCTGCCCCTGAGCACAAAGGGGGTTTAGAGACGTTGCCATTTCTCTGAGCCTCAACTGTCCTGACTCTAGAAAGTTGAAGGGGGGGCTGGCTCGTGGGTTTCTGCGTTGATCGCCAGGCAGCCGAGCAAGGGGAGAGGAAGGCTCAGACCACAGTCGGTGGACTGAGAAAATCTGAGTGGAACATCAAGCAAAGAAGGGGCCCACCATTTTCATGTATTCCCCAGAAAAAAAGGTTTTAATTAATTAACTGATCGATCATGACAGGTGCCAGAGGGGCTCCTGGCCACATGGAGGGTTCCCAGAAGTCCTAGGTGGAGAAAACCTCGAGGGGGTCCTATGGGCATTTGCTGGCCACCAGGGGCCTGGGCCCTCTTGGCCTGTGACAGTAGGTCCCTGCTGGACCCAGCAGCGGAGCCAGCAGCCTCCTGAGACCTCAGTGTGGGCCTCAGCTGCAGGGAGCTCCCCCCGGCTCTGGCTGCTCAGGAGTTAGGGAGGGGCTGTGGCTTTGGAGGGCAGTCTGCGTATGACATCCTTGGCACCTACCTGGCCGTGATAAGCCACGGGGCTCCCTTGGGCCCAGGGCCAGGGCTGGCCAGGATCGCAGATTTATGGAGCAACAGCCCAGAGCTGCTGCCAGGGACGAAGGGCCACTGGCCCGGGGTTGCTGTAAATGTGCTGCATCTGCACCTTTTGGCCTGGCTTAAGACCCAAATGTTTGCATCCAGCGTGTCCTTTGCCTGCTAATCACTTGCAAAGGAAGGCAGCAGCTATTCTTTTGAAGAAAGCTACACTTGTCACAGAGAGAGCAGGAGGGCCTGTTTGTGCCGGACGCAGAGGTGGGGGCCTTATAGTCTGGGGGACGGTCGAGCTATGTGCGACACAAGCTGCAAAATGGGATTTGCAGTCCTCCTTGTGAATGACCCAAGTTATATGGAAATAGGGGTGGGAGGGGACAGGGAAGGAGAGCAGAGAAGCTGAGACCCCGGCTTTTTTTCCCCTAAGTCTAGCTCTGAGGACATCCTTCTCTGATCCTTTTTTTTTTTTTAAATCATTTTATTGCGGGCTCGTACAACTCATCACAATCCATCCATCCATCCATTGTGTCAAGCATATTTGTACATTTGTTGCCATCATCATTCTCAAAACATTTGCTTTCTACTTGAGCCCTTGGTAGCAGCTCCTCGTTTTTCCCCCTCCCTCCTCTGATCCTTTTCGATAGATCCTGGGACCCTCACTTTCACCGATCCAGCTCTGGCTCTGGCTCTGGGCCTCTAGCCCCCACTAGCCTCCTTTACCAAGTTGTGGTGAGGAGAAAGAGTGACTAGATTGGAAGCACTCAGAAAATCCATTAGCACTATCAGCCATTACAAATCTTATCGATGTGATTATTACTGCTCCCCTCCCTTGCATTCTAAGCTCCCTCCTCCTCCTAACTGAAGACACTCTAACTGCCTAGAACGATGGTCGCTGCCCTTGGGGGTGCACGTCACCCTTCTCTGCCTGAGTAGGGACTTCCGTAGGAGGATGCCATGAGAGACCTGGCAGCGCAGCGACACGGCATACTCCACGGGAGAGACCTGGCTACAGCCCAGTCACGGTCAATGTCCACTATCACTGTTGACCTCCCCCATGACGGAACAATGCGCGTGTGGGGGGGTGGGATCAAGGGCAGAAGGAAAGCTGACTTGTTTTAAGGAGGATTTCCTCCTGCACACCCTTAAATCTGCCCTGTCTGGAGAAGGCTCTGCACACAGACCCCTGGGTGTTCCCCCGCTAAGCCTTCCACATACTGCTTGATACTGATTTACCCTGGAGGGCTCCCACTCTGCACCAAGAAAATGCGGCTATCTCAGAGAGTTGCCGTGAACATGAAGTGAGTGCATATTACACGGTCAGAGATTACACGTCTGACGCAGAAACCAGACTCACTGCCACGGAGTCTGTTCGGGCCTAGAGGCCCTGGGGGCGCCCCAGGGTGTCAAGTCTTTCCAGGGGCACAAAGCCTCCTCTTACTTCTGTGGTGCGGCTGGTGGGTTCAAACTGCTGACCTGGTTGTTAGCAGCCCAACAGGGAATTCACAAAGCCCCCAGGGTTCCTGACACACAGTAAACACTCAAGAAATGATGGGGACTGTGGGTGCTGATCTTATTATAGGAGCGCCGCCCCTCTCAGAGTGCAAGGACCAGCAATGTCACAAACCTCGCATGCCAGGCCCTTTCCTGAAGAGAAAATCTGAGCCCTAAGTCACTTGCCTGAAGGCCAAGAGCAGGACCCATAGAAGAGCTCAAGTCTGGCCTGTGAGGACAGGATAACCTTTCCAGGCATTTGGGGGAGGGGGGGGTTCCCACCTCCTTGTCTCGGGTCTGTGGCTTGGACAGTAAATGACTCTGGGCAGCACTGGCCTCTGCTAGATTCTAGGTTCCTGCTCTTAGTTCCATTTCTCTGAAGGACCAGGTTCAAGCTCAGCGTTGCTGGTGAGAGGCCAGGTGGCTAAGCTTGCGAGCAAAGCCTCCCTGGGACAATTCAAATGCCTGAAGCAGGGCCTTGGTCTCTATGGTTCCATGGTTGCTAACACTGTGGCAGAAGTTGCTTTTTCTGGGGCTGCTAGGGAGAGCGGATTTTCAAGGTTTCTGGTTATAGGGCAGACGAGAACTGTGACTCAACTTTGAGGGCCTCTGAGGGAACAAGAGGGGAGCCTGTGGGGGGCAGAAAGATGAGAGATGGTAGAAGGGAGACAACGAGACTGTCGTGGACGACCCCAGTACAGGGCCTAGACAGCACATCCAAGGATGCTGATATTTCCCTTCCTTCCATAAGAATAAGTCTAGACCCAGAAATGCCCCCAGCCCCCACCCCAGGAAAAAGATTTAGTATAACAGGCTAATGAAACTCTTTCTCATAGATTGGACTAAGGTAGGGTCAGGGACACTCAAAAGGGACTAAAGTTACTATGGACAATTGGGGACAGCAGCAGCCTGGCCCCTGGCCAGTGTGGCTTGCAGACAGTCCTTTGTGCCCTTTCCAGACAGCCCCCTCCTCCAGCCTCAGGGACCTGTCTGGCTGCTGAGCCCCCAGGAGGTCCAAGGGGTGTGCCCTGCCTCTCTCCCTACTCCCGCCCACCCCACCCCAGGCCCAGCCCAGGGCTCCTATAAAGCTGGCCCAGCCTGGCTCTCAGCACACCCGCTGGGTCTCAAGTCCCTCCTGGACCCTCTGCCAGAGCACACTGTCTCTGCGCCTGGCTCCCCCGAGCAGCAGCATGTTGTCGCTGTGGCTCTGCTGGGCAGTGTGGGCACTGCCCCTGACCGGCCCCGCAGCTGCCCTGAGCGAGGAGCAGATCCGGGACAGCCTGCTGCAGCAGCTGCACCTCAGCGAGGTGCCTGTGCTGGACAAGGCAGCCATGGAGGAGCTGGTCATCCCTGCCCACGTGAGGGCCCAGTACGTGGCCCTGCTGCAGCGCAGCCACAGGGTCCTCTCTCGAGGGAAGAGGTTCAGTCAGAAATTCCAAGGTGAGGCCTCCCTCCCTGCCATCCCTGGGGTGGGAGGGTGGTGGGTAAGGCTGGGGTGTCTGCTCTGCTGGTGTCAAAAGGACCCTGGCTGGGGTTCTGTGGGTGGGCTGCCAGGAATCAGGGGTCCTGACCCAGAGGTCAGTGAGGAGGGAGCATGGGGACTCTTGGGTCCTGGTCTGCATACACTGAGGGCCCCACCCATCAGGTCCCAAGGAGGTGTGGCAGACCAGAGCCAATGTCCAAGCCAGGACAGAGGGGAAAGCAGAACCTCTCTGAGGGGCTGGGTGTGGCGAGGCCCCAGGCTATCAAAATGCAGGCAAGTCTGGACTTCTTGGATTCCATTTCACACTGCCTCTAACGGGAAACGGGGTAGAACTCTGGCCTTCCAGGAAGGAGCTGTGGGTACAATCCCGGCCAGTGCACCCCAGTCCTTCAGGGGTGCCTTGGGTGTTGCTGTGAAGCTGACCAGGTTTCAGCAGCGCTTCCAGACAAAGGAAGACCAGGAAGGCAGTCCTGGGGTCTACTTCTGAAAAGCAGCCAGTGAAAATGCAATCCCAGCCGTCTGGTCATGAGCACAGGGTCGCCAGGAGATGGGGCTCAGACCCTTGGAAAATGTTTTCAAATCTCTGAACCTGTTTGCCCATCTGGGAAAAAGATGGTCTGACTGACTTGTCTACTTGTTAGCATTCAAGGGAGTCAATGCCCACAGATAAGGCCCTTTCTGCATAGCTGAAAGGTATGACCTGTTTGGGTCAGCTGTTAGGGATGCAGTGGCCTGGGGTCATTTTAGTGCCCCCAGCGTTGCCAGATTTCCTAAGGTAACCCTCCTACAGGGGTGCAATTGTTACTAAAAGGCCCCAAGTTCCAAGGGAGACTTTTAGCACTATAATGCCATTTTTGTAACATTTAATTAAATGTATATATTGATATATATTGATAACTATGAAAGTAAAGAATAAAAACAGAAAAAAATTTCCTGAAATTAAAACTGTAGGCGTTATTTAGGTAACTGGTGACCTGGGTGTACAAACTGTTCTCTTTGGCCAGCTGAGAGGTTAGCGGTTTCACTTGGGGCTGCTACCTGCAGGTCAGCAGTTCAAAGCCACCAGCCGCTTCTCAGAAGAAAGACGAGGCTTTCTATTCCTGTGAAGAATTAGTCTCAGGAACTACATGTCCTATAGGATGGCTATGAGTGGGACTTGACAAGACGGCAGTGAATTTGATTTGGGGTTTTTTTGAGAGGTCCCAGGCATTTGCTTCTGATAGAGCAGCCATTGACCAACTCACAGTCCTGTGGCACCCAAGGGATGGCAGGGCAGCTGGGACCCCTTGATGGAGTGACCTCAAGAGGTGCTGCTCTCTCCCAGCCGGGCTAGCGGGCCCATCCCTGGCCCTGCCACCCCCAGGGCTGGCTCCCCAGTCCCTAGAGAGGCCCCACTGACCGTGCTGGTGTTCCCAGAGGTGGCCGGCAGGCTCCTGGCGTCCGAGGCCTCCCGGCACCTGCTGGTGTTCGGCATGGAGCAGCGGCTGCCGCCGGACAGCGAGCTGGTGCAGGCCGTGCTGCGGCTCTTCCAGGAGCCGGTCCCCAGGGCGGCGCTCCGCAGGCAGGAGCGGCTGTTCCCGCGCAGCGCCCGGGCGCGGGTCACCGTCGAGTGGCTGCGCGTGCGCGACGATGGCGCCAACCGCACGTCGCTCATCGACTCCAGGTGGGGCCCTGCGGCGCGGGGGAGGGGTGGGCGTGGGCATGGGGGAGGGCAGGGGCGGGGCGTGCGCGTGGGGCGTCCGGGCTGGACAGCGGGGAGGCTCTGGGGCCCGCCGTGACGGCCGGTCCCCGCTCCGCCCCTAGGCTGGTGTCCCTCCACGACAGCGGCTGGAAGGCCTTCGACGTGACCGAGGCGGTGAGCCTGTGGCAGCAGCTGAGCCGCCCGCGACAGCCGCTGCTGCTGCAGGTGTCGGTGCAGCGCGAGCACCTGGGCCCGCTGGCCTCGGAGGCGCACAGGCTGGTGCGCTTCGCCTCGCAGGCGGCGGGGGGCTCGGGGCCGCGCGAGCCCCAGCTGGAGCTGCACACCCTGGACCTCAAGGCCTACGGGTAGGCGCGGGGGGCCCCCGGAGACCCCCATTGCCCGCCCAACCGAGAGAGACACTTCTCCCGAAAAGGGCACCGCTTTGGCTTGCTCGAAAAGGGGACACGTGGGAATGAGATGAGATCGATCACATTCTTATTTCAATTCTCAGGAATTCCTCTTAGTTACATTTGGGCTCTAACCACAGGGACAGCAGTTGGAACCCACCAGTGACTCCTGGGGAGAAAGATGAGGCTGTGTGCTCTTGTGGAGAATGACAGTCTCCGAAACCTACAGGAGCAGTTCTGTCCTGCCAGACTGGGTCACTAAGAGTCTGCATGGACTCAATGGCTGTGATTCCCCGCCCGCACCCCTCACCCCCCCATGTTTGGGACATTCATTCATGCCGTGGGCTACATGTGGAGCTGCTACCACCAGTCGCTCCCTGGAAGAAAGACGAGACTTCCACTCTGGTAGAGTTACAGCCTGGGAAACCCTCAGGGGCAGTTCTGCTCCGTCCTACCAGGGTACTGAGGAGTTAGAATCCAACACGAGGCTCTGATTTTGAGTATCAAATATCGAGCTCTTAAAATATGATGAGAGACCGACCATAACCCCCCTGCCAGATGTCTGCCCTGCCTCATCTGGGCCTCCTCCCCTCAGCCCTCCCAGCTGACCGCTGACCCTGCCTCTTCTCCCCGCAGGGCTCAGGGTGACTGCGACACTGAGGCACCAGCCACCGAGGGCACCCTTTGCTGCCGCCAGGAGCTGTACATCGACCTGCAGGGGATGAAGTGGGCCGAGAACTGGGTCCTGGAGCCCCCGGGCTTCCTGGCCTATGAGTGCGTGGGCTCGTGCCAGCAGTCCCAGGAGTCCCTGCCCTTCCAGTGGCCATTTCTGGGCCCGCGGCAGTGCATTGCTTCGGAGACAGCCTCGCTGCCGCTGATTGTCAGCATCCAGGAGGGAGGCAGGGCCAGGCCCCACGTGGTGAGCCTGCCCAACATGAGGGTGCAGAAGTGCAGCTGCGCCTCGGACGGGGCGCCCGTGCCCAGGGAGCTGGCGCCGTAGGTGCCCCGTGTAGCCTCTAACTGGAGTGCAGAGGCAGGTCTGACTGTAGGTCTGAATTTTGTACTTAGCAAGCTACCACCCCGCCCCTATTTAGTGCGCCTATTTTATCTCTGCCCTGTTTTCTCCCATTTCCAATCCTTGCTGTACACCTATCCTAAGCACTTACATGAGTAGAGAATGCAATTGGGGTTTGCTGAGCCTCTGGTAAGAAATCCTGGCTGGCTTACCTGAGGATATATTAGAGCAATGGATGTATTGTCAGCTGGGGATCTATTTTCTGGCAACTCCCGCCTGAGGGTTCTAGGATGAGAACTAGGGAAAGACAAGTGTTTTACTCTATTACATGGTTAACTAAAACAACAACACGAAAAAACCCTCATTTCTCCTCAAAAGAGAGGATATTGAAAAGCACCCCTGCCCGCTGGAGATATCAGCCTGTTCTAGACTTTGTAAACACACCCACTTCCTGCTCCCCTGAGGAGATGCCAGGCAGGAGGAAGGCCGCGCCCTTGGGTAGTGTACAGGCACTCTGAACACCTGGTTTGGGGTTCTCACAGGCCTCTGGCTGTGACCTCAAGCACACACAGAAGACTGGGCCAACGGGCCCTTTGTTTGGTTTTTCCAACACGTCCTTTTAAAAAGGAGCTGTACCTCTGTCCTGGTTTAAGACTGTTTCTACCCTTTGAGAATGAGTATTGCTTTTGCATATTTAGGTTATTTCCCCCATTGTTTTTAACAATGTATCCCCAAAATCCACATGTTTGCGTCATCTTATTTAGCAAAACCACAATTGTATGTAGATGATTTGCTGAAATAAAAGTGGTTTCACTCTGTCTATTTAATTTCTAGCACCCTTTTACATAAAAGGGCCCTTGTAAGGCAAAGGTTAAGTCCTTGACTGCTAACCAAAGGGGGGATAGCCAGAGCTCACCCAGTACACCTTGGGGGAGATCTGTTGATCTCCTGTAAAGGATTGCAGTCAAGTAAACCCTAGAGCAGCAGTTTTCAATCTGTGGGTCATGCATGACCCCTTTGGGGGTCAAATGACCCTCTTACAGGGGTTGCCTAAGACTCAGAAAACACATTTCTGATAGTCTAAGGAAACGAGACACCGCTCTATCCGTTTCCAGGCGGGTCTGCCCACATACAAGTGAAGACTGTTATCCATGCTTTAAGACAAAATTTCATTTATTTGTAACTAGAAATAAATATTTCACAATATATAATTACATATAGTTTTTTGATTAATCATGCTTTAATGATCAATTTGTAGCAATGAAAATACATGCTGCATATCAGATGTTTACATGATGATTCATAACAGCAAAATGACAGTTATGAAGTAGCAACAAAAATAATTTTATGGTTGGGGGTCACTACAACATGAACTGTATTAAAGGGTCATGGCATTAGGAAGGTTGAGAACCACTGTCCTATAGGAACCATCTTTGTCACGCAGGGCTGCTCTTAGTGGGAACTGACTAGATGGCATTCAACAACTACATACATAGGTGTGCCTTGGTTGCTCAAGTACTTAAATGATTGGCTAATGGAAAGGTTGGTTCAAATCTACCCAGCTGTGCCATGGGAGAAATGCTTAGTGACCTAAACCTGAAAGATCATAACCACTGAAAATGCTGTGGAGCAGAGTTCTATTCCGGGCATGGGGTCACCCTGTCTTAGGCATCTGGTTGATCGAAGGTGGAGGGTACAATAGTGAAGCATTAAAGAAGAGTGATCCGGAGCCTCCACCCTCTGGGGGTGCTGAAGACTGGAATAAGGACATTTAGATTTTCATTAGGCACAGAAATTGAGGCAACTCCAACTAATTGCAACACTGTAGGGCAGAGGAGACCTGTCCCGTAAAGTTTCCAAGACTGTGAGTGTCATGGAAGCCTACTTCCTTCCGTGGCTTGGCTGGTGGGTCAGAACTAAAGACTTTTGTGAGCTGTAGATGAGTCCTCAGAACTACGGCATCCATTAAGAAGAGTGGACCATGCACCTAATAGGTACAAATAAAAGGTATCGTTGCTAGACCTGGGAGAAGCCAAGGAGTATCATATAATACAGTTAGGTAGGAAAAAGTAAAATACAGATGTTTTGGATTTTAAAAAGTCCTCTCGGAGCTTCCAAGCTCTCTGGAGCCATAAGCTTGACCTTCCAGCTGACCACTTGATTCTTTTTTGGTTCTCTATTAGTGGACAGTATTTTTTTTAATTTTATTAATCATTTTATTGGTGGGGGTCTTACAAATCATATAACAATCCATCATTCAATTGTATTAAGCACACTTGTACATATGCTGCCAGCAACATTTCCAAAACGTTTTCTTTCTACTTCAGCCCTTGGTATCAGCTCCTCTTTTTACCCCTCCCTCCCCACCCTCCCAGATTATCATTTTTATTATTATTAAAAGATCATTTATTGGGGGCTCTTACTGGTCTTATAACAATCCATACATTAATTGTATCAAGCATATTTGTACATATATTGCCATCATTGTTTTCTAAACATTTACTTTTTTTTTTTTGCTCAAAGTCAATTATTTATTCCTTTTTTTGGAGAATATAATTTTTTAATCATTTTTATTAGGGGCTCATACAACTCTTATCACAATCCATACATACTTCAATTGTGTAAAGCACATTTGTACATTCATTGCCCTCATCATTCTCAAAACATTTGCTCTCCACTTAAGCCCCTGTCATCAGATCCTCATTTTTCCCTTCCCTACCCACTCCCGCCTCCCTCATATACCCTTGACAATTTATAAATGATTATTTTTGTCATATCTTGCCCTGTCCGACATCTCCCTTCACCCACTTTTCTGTTGTCCGTCCCAAGGGAGGAGGTCACATGTAGATCCTTGTAATCGGTTCCCCCTTTCCAACCCACTCTCCCTCTACTAAACATTTACTTTCTATTGAGCCCTTGGCATCAGCTCCTCTTTCTTCCCTCCCCCCTTGCCCCACTTGATTCTTATAACTGCTTCTTCTATTGGTATTATTATATTTTTACATAAAACTTTTAAATCTTATTGTTGATATTATTATATTCATTTTTTTCAAGTGAGAAAAAGGCCAAGGAAATGCAAATCTGTGAGTTTTTAACTGCAGAATGAATTATAAACCTCTTCCCATTCCACCCCAGTGGGCTGTGCCAGTGAAGCAGACCTTAGGTTACAAGGTGATTTGGAAGCTGCCACACTTGTTAATTTTCCAATTGCGAAACTGACTGGTTTTAAGTAAGGTGACCAGATTTTAACATTGGTAAAGCAGGACACCATTGACCAGTGGGGGGTGGAGGGGGGTGTTTGCTTGATTAAAAATTTGGTCTCTATGGAGCAATAAAAATTTTCATAAAACGCAAAAATAGTATTGAAATATATTTTTTAAATTTCAACAGAAGTACAATTTACAAATATAATACATTAAAATTATGTATAGTATTATTTTATTCTATGGCATACGATTACTGTCTGCTAAATTCAAGAAAATGTATGTATTTATGAAATAAATAAATAAATGAATGAATAAATTACCTAAATTATCTGAATAGCTGATTTGTTGACATCACTTGTTTAACTAGCACTGGCACGCAGTACGATGTGTATCGTCTGAGAGACAGTTACAAAATGTTTTCGTCGTTGCCAATGCCAAAAAATGCCATTGTTCATTAAGTCCAAACAATGGTGGTCGAATTCTAACAACTGATCAACAATGCGAACTTTGATAAGCAGTTCTCGATAAGCAGTTCTGAACAATTATTTGTTATTATTAAAGTTTAACATTATAAAATTAACAAAAATAATATAAAACTCATATCCTAGCGAAAGGGCCACATGGCTGCCAAAAACTGTATATTCCTTTCCCGTTCTCCCGCCGTTCCCTAGCTTGTCGTGCATTCTTTCCAAAAATCAGGACTTTTTTAAAACGCCGCGGGACGCGGGACAAATTGTTAAAAATCGGGACGCCTGGTCACCTTAGTTTTATGCCGGTTCATGAGGAGATTCTGTGGGAGCCAAACTGTTTGTTGTTCACAGACTGAGAAAGGAGCAGACCTCCCCCCCCCCCCCCCCCCCCCCCCGTGAGAAGTAGACCTTTCTTGCTTGCTTACTGGAGGGCTTGCAAAACTACCCGCTTTATGGCTAGACTGTCCCACGAATGATTTGACATTAATGTCATAAGAGCAAAGCAAGATAGGCACCAAACTCTTCCAGATCTCTCTCCATGATAACCCCTCAAGACCACCCTTCCAAAGTGCTACCAGGTACAAAAAGGTCTTTTCTGCCACCATGTTATAAAAACTTTCAGGAACTGGAATAACTTTCCCATGTGCTCAATTTTTTAAGTGACATCGCTGATAAGTGATTTAACTGGGATTTGAAGACAGACCATTTGGCCCCAGTGCCCGTGTCCGCCATCACTACTATAGAGATGATAAGGACAAAAAACGTAAACCAAGTTGGAGTTAATTTTACAAGTAACTTGAGGACAACAGGGCTGTAGACTACTCACTTGGCCATTCGTCCCTCTTTACTGAGTTCACAGCCGGACTGTGAAGCCTCGGTTTAGAGATGACTTCTGAACTGCAGACGGAGGCCAGCTGATAACTTAGAGATGTGTTGTACATCTTAATCACTGAAAAATAGTTAGAGTTAATAAATCAATACGGGTGATAGTATGAAAAATAAACCCAAAAGAGGCAGGGAGGGGGTGGAGCAGAGAGAATAATAGAAAGTAAAATCACAAGGTAGCAGACAAATTCAGCTATATCAATAATTATACCAATTACAAATGTTTCAAACACTCCAATAAAAAGGCAGAGAGTGCTAAAACAAATATAGCTTGGGCTACACAAAATTCAGTGTAAGTGAAAAACGTGTTTTTTAACTCAAGCTCAATGGTGCTGAGAGCCCCCAGCTCTGGGTAACATTCTTCTCCAGACTTTACGCCCTCTACCTTCAACCAAGGAGCCCTGATGGCATAGTGGATTACAATTTGGGGTGCTAACTGCAAGGTCAGCAGTTCGAAAACACCAATTGCCCCTCAAGAAAATGATGAGGCTTCTACTCCCATGAAGGTGTACAGTATAGTTTCAGAAACCCACACGGGCAGATCTGCTTTGTCCTATGGGGCTGCTGTGGGTTGGAATCAACTCGACGGCAGTGAGGCAGCCACCTTCAGGCAAGGGGAACAGGTGGTGCCATCGAGTCCCTGTGGACTGCAAACCAAAAAGTCAGCGCTAGGAGCTGGCATCACCTTGGTGGCAGTGTGGGCTTGGGACCCTCAACCAAGGAGCTGGAAGGAATACACAAAGTCACCGGACCAAAAAGGATCCGTTGACAGTCAATCATTTCAAGAGGTAGCATATAATCAAGATTCAACTGTATTGAAAGAAGTCCAATTTATCTAAGGCAAGGTGACCAAGGACACCCTGTGGAGGCTGAGTGAGGCAGCCCACATTGAGTTGACCAGAACCAGACCAGCTGGAGACTTTTGAGCCCGTGAACTGGTGCATATTGCTGCTGACTTTATGGATGGCCTGTCTGGATTTGACTTTGCTTATGGATGCAGACTTCACAAGGTTCGATTTGGAATGAAGACTCTTCATGTTGAAAAATATGATTGTCTTCTCAGAGAACTGGGTTGATGTAAGTGGGCAGTATATAAATTGGATACCCAAAATTGGGGGAGATAAAGGCATTAAGTGGTTGGCTTACAAACTTTCATAGGTGGGGGAAAAAATTCACAGGATTATCGGGTTAAGGTGTAGGTGTTACTTAATTGCAATTGTGAAGCTAAAGAATTACATACAGGTGCCAGGTTGGCAAGGGGTGGAT